GTTTTTGTATTAGACCCGTCGTCCATTTATTTGTAAGTCAATGTTTAAATTGCAAAGATCTGAGGGGCACTGCCATTGCGCCCGTCACTCTGAGACATAAGTTTCCAAGTCCCATGTGCTTGTAATTTCACCAGCACCCTTACCTTTCAAAACCGAAACAGTAATGCTGACATTACTGCTTGGCAGCAGAAACAGGTAAGGTGGCAGTACTTCCCTGGACGAACTCTTTCACAAGGAGCTCTACTGCTAATGGAATTCCCTGCCTGCACTGTTTCCTCTCTCTCTGAACTCGTACAACCCGAATATCTTTAACGTGCTACTGGCATCTTCTGGGCGAGCTCGTTCCATCGTAGATCCTATCTTTCTTCAAGAGCTAGGTAGTGATCAAGAGGAAGTGTATTTAATTTAAAAAAAAGTTTATTTACCTAGTCTAGCTAACCATCAGGCGCACGATTTTATCGTCCCTTCACTTGATATTATGAAAAAAATAATAATAAAAGAAGATGAAAAGCGCTTAGTACGCCTGAAGGGAATATCGACCAAGTAAGGATGATATCCCGCCGTACGTTTGGATGTCCGATGGTAAAACGGGGCGGGCGGGATGAGCTGATGAAGCTCATGAACACACTCACTGAAATATATTCTGTAAAAAATCGACAGACGCAACCTTGCGCCGGTGGACTAAACTATGAAGTTTAGATTCGAGCTTATCGATATATAAGTCAATAATATATATTAAGTATAATAAGTCTCCAGGCTCTGCGATTAATCGAATCAACAGCCTCGAGTTGATACTTCGCGGAGCCATCCCGTTTTATCTATCTATCTTCATTTTTGAACCGATAGGATTTTTTACAATTAAATTTAAAAATCAAATAAATGTAACTAGTTTGTTATAATTATTAATACATAGATCGAACACTTAGAAAAAATCCCTCGAGTCCGGTAGCTGTACAGGTATCTGGGTGACGAAATACTTTCATATATTTCTCGTAGATAGCGCTACGACTAAAAAGTCGTTGAAAGACCAAATACTAAGATACGACAACAAGCACATAGAAAAATTCGTGAGGTCAGCTAGATTTTTTTCCAAGTGTTCATGAAGTGTTCAATTTGTGTATTAATAATTAATTACACGATATTTTTTGGTGTATTTTTTTGATAAAGAAAACGCCTAAAAATCGTTTGTTTAACAACTATAATTTTGTATTATTGTATATTAGTTTAGCAAATTCATTAATTAATTTACTTTATAATATTTCAACATAGGGTGATGGTACCAAATGATCGACATTTTAAGGGAATTGTCTGTAAATAAAAAAAAATCTTTTTAAATATAATGTCAGTGATTAGTTAGTTACCTTGACAGATATAATCATCAAGAAAAATGTTGGAGTATGCTTTATAAAAAAGCTATTATAATTATTACTAAAAAAAACTACTATAATTTCTCTGTCTCCAGTAATGAACACCAAAAATCGACACTCACCAATAATGAACATCCAATAAGAAACGTGTTACTATGATAGTTTTGTCGTAAATCTTATTGGAAATTAATTTAAAGAAAGACGTCGAACAGTGGTACTTTACGGTTCCTGGCACCACCAACCTTAATTAAAGTAGACATAATTTATTCCATGAATAAAGAAACTTCACGTTTATTTTCCACAGGTCGTAGTAGAAATATAAGTAAAGCTGAAATTACATTGCCGCAGAATGGTACAGAATAGAAAATAGAACAGGAAACAGGTCGCATGTCTTCCATAGAATTCTCGATCAAAATGGAATACTTACAGTAGTTACAGTTATATTGTTCCCAATGATCGGAAATTCGGTTGCAAATGGTGCAATAATAAATGATGTTGTGAAGTAATAGCCCGTTTAACTTCCGTACCGAAGCTTCTTGGAGACGTTGCAACCGGTGCTCGGCGCATCCTGAAGGTGATTTTCTATCGGCGAGGTAAGATGAGACGAGACGAGAATTGAAATCGCGTTGTGGGTGTAGATAGTGAAGATTCAGCGCTGCTCAGTTCGTCTAGCGATAAACATGCGGCTGGACTAACATTTCCCGTAAATTATTGTTATTACATAACATGTTAACGGTAGAAGAATCAGATAAAGCCATCTTTTTTAATTTCTCAAATCGTACATAAGTCACAGTCTCGCATTTGATACTATAGTCGTCATCAAATAAGAGGCCAAATTTGACAGCTAAAGAAGGCGATAGTATGTAACTTTGAATGCGATCAACGAAACAATAAATTATTATTTTTATTATAATGTTTATGAATGAAAGCTATTTAGTAATTTATTAACGAATTTATTTTAAAAATTAAGTGATTTGACATTATCGAATTAGATTTATATCTGTAATGATAAATGTGTTTGCACAATGTAACATGAATAAATGAAATGAAAAAATGAAATAAACAAACAATTATTAGCATAATTGAGTTTTTAAAAAATACATAAATTTAATTGAAACATTATATAATATGACAAAACATATTTGAAGTACTGTTTTCGCACGAATTCCAAAAAAATGCAATTTTGAGTTATCCCGAATCGTCCTGAAAACAGTTACGTCCTCAAGCTATTCTTTTGTAATAATAATGTGGTAAGCAATTAATTGCCGAATTTCACGAGTCACTTCGATTTCTCGGAAAAAAATATAAAAAAAATATTAGAAAAAATTATGAACATTATTTGAGATTATTCGTTGTTGACATTGACAACTTCTAACTTATTAGCCAGCCGAATAATTGAAAATTTATGAAATCTTTGGTTTTTTGATAATTTAATTATTTTATGTAGTTGTTTTATCGATGAACACACTTATTTACACTAAATTCTCGTAATAAAGCATTTATGAATATTATAAAATCCAAATTAAAAGAATTGGATACAATTCATCGGAATGTGGGACAATTTTACGAAAATAAGAGAAATTGCTACAGAATTGCAAAGATTTCTGTAATGAATTGCTTTTAACAGAATTGTACGATTTGGCTTCTTAGGCCCCCTGAACAACAATGAACCGAAACATAATCTAAACAGTCAAACTCTTATAATTTTGAATCGATTTCTCGTGAAAATCGTATAATGTGATTACCGATATGATTAGTCCACATCCCTATACGCGTCACGATGACAAGTGTCAAATTTGGCCTCTTATTTGGTGACGACTTTAATAGCCATCGCGAGTTTCCGTTGCTGAGTTAATAAATACCCTATTCAGGCAGCAATTTGGTTTAATATTTCATCAACAAATATTTCAATTCTCGCCTCGCATATCCTCGTCAATCCAGACCTTTTCTACCGAAGATGTGCTAGGAGAGAATTTAAATTTTATTCCTCATTTCGCTACGTCTCGTCTCGCCTTGCCAGTGGAAACGCACTTTACGACCTGCACTCATAAGGCACTACAATTTGCTTCCATTCCATTCCGCGGCAGTGTAAATATACAACATTCCCAGCAACAGAAATGAAAGCTACTCTTGTACAATAACAATTAAATGTTTTCTCAATGTCTTTTGCTGCTTGTCGATGCGTGTTCGTAAATATCGCGGTGGCACCCATATACAAATATTTCCCAATCTCACTTGATTTCTTGGACACTCGTCCACTATGTCCCTTTTCTGGTACTAAAACAAAATTATTAATAAATTAGTGCATCTATAGTGTCACATCGGTCAAATAGACATGGGACAATACGTTTCATGCCACAGTGCATACTATTACGCGTTTTTTTTATGATGGTAAGCGTCACACCTGTCGGTGCCACTCAGAACTTTAAGGCGTCGCGCAAACATGTGTCTTGTGTTGGATACAAGCAACCGGCGACTAGAAGCGAATATACTATTTTCATTCAAATAGCCACTAGCGACAGTGTCCGGTTGTCGCAACTGTGTCGATTTCATTTCAATTAATTATATGAAAATAGAATAATTAACTTTTAAAAATTAACTGCCGGTTGCGTGTCCAACACAAGACACACGTAAAGATCTGAGGGGCGTTGCTACTGCACTCACCACCCTGAGACATAAGTTAACCAGTCCCAAGTTTAGGCACATGGGATAATTTCACCTTTACCCTTCTAAGCTACTGCATGACGGCAGAAACAGGTAAGGTGGCAGCTCTTCCCCGGATCAACTCTTTCACAAGGACCTCTACTGCTGCAAAATGAATAATTTTGGACCATAAACGGGATCAACATGTAATGTGCCAGATAATCACACCAAGTACCTGGTCTCAAATAAGGGAAACTCCTGTACTATAAATACCAGACCTAGGGTACAATTTATCACCACGTGTGCTAGTTCATCATTTCGCTCCACTACCACATATATACCAAATAACGAAGAAGACTGTGGCCCTCTATTCGCTACATTATTATCGTCACTTTACCCGAAAGACGTCCTTCTAGACATTGGTCATCGGTCCACTTTGTGGTTGGTCTGTTCATGCTGTCTTCCGGTACGCTCCTGTTAAGAGCGGTTACACACGGTGACTTTATGTAGCGATGCAAAGGCGATACAAACGCGATGCACGTTTTAATTAAGTTATTTATTTAATGTATTTATTAATTTCACTTTTAAATTTACAATTAACAAAACAAAATTGCAAAAAAGCTATTGTGTTGTAAACTTTTACAGCTTGTTCGTACATAATTATTCAACATAAGCGATTGCATCGATGCAATCGCGCGTTTGGATCGATACAATCACCTATAAATCGCCTATAAATCACCTAAAAATCACCTATAAGTCACTTTTCATGAACGCGCGTTTGCATCACTGCTAAAAGTCGCCATATGTAAGCACTCTAAGTCTCTTTTACTTCCTTCACTCGCGTCAGTGTTCATCTTAGAGGATGGAAGAAAATAAATTGTTCATATACGCCAGGTAATCAATCTTCTTGCATTTTACCTAACCCATAATAAGGACGAAAAGAAAAAGCCGTGGTAGTCTATGGTTTGACCTACCGTCAGATCTCAAGCATTGGCCGCTGTTTAATTTGCAATTTACTATGAGTTTTTTTGCACCTGCACAACCCTCGGAAAATGTGTGAAGACCAAAAACCTGAGAGGAGACCCGTGCCCATTGGAACGTATAATTCAGTTGATGGTGATCTATTAAGGACATCCTCGATTGGGTTGTGGCAAGTACGGACAGCAGCAAATCAAGCTACACGTTAACGGACCTTGTTCATTCTTGATGATTTAAACAAAAGTGTATTAGTTTGATGTGCTGTGACTTATTGTATGCCGAGATCGACCACTTGTAAAGGGTTTTTCAACAAGAACTTTGTTTTGTTAATCAAAATGAAACAATAAATTTAGATCATAATGATTCAAATTTTTATTGTAATAAAAAAGTAAGGTTTGGCAATTATGAATGAAAAATGATATCTGTAAATGTTCACCACGACTACAGTTACAGATGTCGATTCTTTCATCAAAGTTTTTAATCACTTTTTGACAAAATGGTGGGTCTATTTCGTTAATCACTTCACGAATGTTGAGTTTTAAGGATGCAATCGATTCGATTGGCTCCGTATAGACTCTGTCTTTAGCATAACCTCATAAAAAAGAATCCAGCCGTGTTAAATTACATGATCGAGCTGGCCACTTAACGGCTGAATTTCGCGAAGTTATGCGATCGGGAAATTTCGAGATATCATTTTTCATTCATAATTCTAAAACAAAACAACACGAAGTTCTAGTTGAAAAACCCTATACTACTAAATACCAACCGTATGATAATTCGACATATGGTTTTGTACACGCGGTAGTGGATACTGGACGTTAGTTTTTGCCATCGAGGTCCTAGCAATTTTTTCATTTGTATCTTTCACCGTGGTAGTTTTTTCGTTAACGACATTCGGTGTTTCTGTTGTCGTCTCTGCTGGTGGTTCTGTTTGCTTATTTGTGACAGAATTCGTAGAAGCCTCAGTGGTAGGTTTTTCTGTGTTCGCTTTAGTGGGATTCTCTGGGGTCTTTTCAGTGGGATGTTTCGGAGTCCTCTCAGTGGGGCCTTTTGGGGTTCCTTCAGTGGGGTTTTCTGAGGTTCCTCCGGTGGGGTTTTTTGGTGTAATAGTGGTTTCTTCATGTTGTCTCAAATGCTGGAAACCAGATATTGTCTTTAAATCACGCCTTACCGTCCCATACACATAGTAGAAAGGTAAAATGTAAAGCGAGACGGAATATATACAGAATGGAAATTTAAGACGGTTCAGTAAATGCGTTAGCTACTGGAAAAGATTCTATGCGGCTGTCCATCAAATTTGAAGATATTTCGATTGTGCTATATCGATGCCTTACTTTCTCTTCGTATTTTATAAAGAGTGATTATACTCAGGAGACGGCAAAACTTTCTATTTATTTTAAATTTCTTATCCAGGGTGATAATTTGGATGCATTAGGAAATGAAACTATTTTTCCGGATTTAAATAGCGCATATTTGTTTTTTCAAACAAACCGACCTTTCGGGCCCTTTACAGGTCCCGTGGTCATGGTTGACTGAGGTGGTACAGTCTTCAACCAGGTTATGTCTAATATTGATGCAAACCGCCCTATTTTTTCACTATAGTTACAATAGTTGTTAATTAAATACCTTATTTTTATTAATTTCTATTAATAATTAATAATAAATTGAACTTAATAAAAGTTCATTCGATAAAATAATTTGTAAAACTTAATATAGCGTAAATTAGAGGCGTAAATTAAAAATAGGGTGGTTTGCATCAATATTAGACATAACTGGTTGAAGACTGTACCACCTCAGTCAACCGTGACCATGGGACCTGTAAAGGGCCTGGAACGTAGGTTTGTTTGAAAGAACAAATATACGCGATTTAAATCCGGAAAAATAGTTTCATTTCCTATGTGTAACAATCGCGAAAACCTAAGAATTGGATGCATTACTTTAAGAATAGGTAGAAACCAGTTTATGAATATGAAGGAAATGTGATATGAAATCATCCTGCAAAATTTGTATATAAAGGGTTTTTCAAAAAGAACTTTGTTTTGTAAATCAAAATAAAACAATCAATCTAGATGACATTGATTCAAATTTTTATTGTTTTAAAAAAAGTAAGGTTTGGTAAATATGAATGAAAAATTATATCTGATAAATGTCCACCACGACCACAGTTAGAGATGTCGATTCTTCCATCAAAGTTTTTTAATCACTTTTCGATAAAATAGTGGGTCTATTTCGTTAATCATTTCTCCAATTTTGAGTTTTAAGGCTGCAATCGATTCGATTGGCTCTGTATAGACTCAGTCTTTAATATAAAAAATATTCCAGCGGTGCTAAATGACATGATCGAGCTGAACACTACACGGCTGAATTTCGTGGAATTATGCCATCGAGAAATTTGATTTGCAATAAATTCATTGTTTCGGTGGCTGTGTGACTTGTGCCATTGGCATTGGGCCGTTTTTTTTCGAAAATTCGGCTGGAAATGCGGTTACGGTCAACGGATTACGCTGTCGACAGATGTTAACAACTCAATTTTGGCCTATTATTGATGATATGTATTTCACTAACATGTGGTTTCAACAAGACGGTGCCACAAGTCACACAGCCACCGAAGCAATGAATTTATTACAAGCCAAATTTCCCGATCGTATAATTTCATGAAATTCAGCCGTTAAGTGGCCAGCTGGATCACGTGATTTAACAACGCTGGATTATTTTTATAGGGTTATGTTAAAGACAATTGGTTGTGGTTAACGAGATAGACCCACCATTTTGTCAAAAAGTGATTAAAGACTTTGATGAAAGAATCGACATCTGTAACTGTAGTCGTGGTGGACATTTACAGATATCATTTTTCATTCATAATTGCCAAACCTTAGTTTTTACAACAAAGTTCTTGTTGAAAAACTCTTTACAATTCTTTTGCATTTCAGTAACTTAGTGCATTAAGATACGAGTTTAAGAAAGTAAGACGGCGATTTACAGATATCGAAAAAATAGTACAGTCAGCATGAACAATTTCCACGAAACTTTTTTTCATGCCATTCGACCCTGGATAATAATTGTTTCGGAGAGCGCGAGTAGACTCCCTGATAAGGACCTAGTACTACAGTGTGTTTTTTGGTATTTTTTTTGCATGCATGTTACGCCATAACTTATGAACCGATTTTGAATGATTCTTTTTTGGTTGGAAAGAGGGTACTGCCGTAGGCGTCCCATTTAAATTTGAAAAAAATATTCCACCTCTAAGGGTGGCAAACTAAGGATGAATGCGTTTTTGCGCACTTTCCGGTAACCGATTGCAGTAAAACGTGGCAAATAGATGTAATTCCATGAACTTTTGAGGTCGTATTTTTAAGTACTCTGTACTGATTTTATATTTTATATTCTTGCAACCTCTTTTAACTAAAATTGAATTTCTGGGGTCATACTTTAGGGTAGTCAGTTTTCAGTGTGCCTAACACAAACGCATTTTTTTTACACAAGTAACTACAATGTCCAATCAAGAGTACATCAATATTGACACTTTGAACTTTGGGCCATTCTTAACGTAAGTGATATAAAGTTCAATTAAAATCTTAAGTGTGAAGCTTGACGTGATATTGAATGCAAAAAAAATAATGTTCTACAACACCTCTATCTTGCCTCTATAGTAAAAAAAATGTTAATTTCTTTTATTTTCCTGCAGATTTGTCGACTGGTTCGAAGGTTGAATTTGCGTAAATATAAATATGTAAAATTTCGGAGTTGAAAAAGTTTTTAACCGACTTCAAAAAAAGTAGGAGGTTGTCAATTCGACTGTATTTCTTTTTTTTGTATGTAGGTGTTACACGATAAATTGTGACCGATGTTGATGTTGGAAAGAGGTTACCTCAGTATTGGTTCTATTTAAATTTTACTCAGTATATAAAATCCCCTGAATGATGCACTCTCACACAGTTTATTTATTCAAGTGAAAAGTAAATACCACTTACATCTTTTTTTCCAAGTTTAGGACGCTGTAGATCGCGTCCAGTTTTCTTCCCATATCTCAATATTCGCGATAGGCGCTGGTGCCGGACATCCGGCATAACCTAGCCACCATAAGTAAAACATTATGATTATTGTATTAAGTTTATTAAATATGACGACGTCTTACTAACATGGATATTTAATTTTTTCCTGCGTCAGCCACGGTAAGCTGGTTCGAATTCTGAAAGTACATTTAAAGTTCTGTTTCTGTGTAGTCGTTTATAGTTCTGTGTACGGAATTATTAAAAAATTTTTCAGTTCAGTTGCGAGGACCATAGAATTATGGTTCAGAATAAAAAATAGCGCTCTTGTGCTATGAAAATAATTGGAAGATTAAAGTAAAAAAAATGTATATCAATTTAAATAGAGCGCCATCTATATCAACACATTGGAACTAAGGCTTTCAGTCTCGCTTTATTAGTATTTATGTGGTCTGTGGTCTTGCTGCTTTTCCGCGTTTCCAAGAAAAATTCGAGACTAGATGCTACCTCGAAACTCTCGGAAAAAATTAGACTTTCGAGACTTTCGTAAGTAGGTTATTTTAATGCTTGGCGTTTAGGCAGTTAATGTGATATTTAAATCAAGTTCTTTCTTAGTTTTTTTTTTTTTTTTATTTATTAAGGCATTGGCAAAGCCATCAGCCTAAACATGAAGTTTAATTATAATTCTGTAAACATGGCCGCCACAAAGAGGATAGGCAATTTGAGGCGGCGTGCTTGGATTGACTCGGGATTCCTTAAAACGGGCCGGTACGGGTATTCTAGTTCGAGATTCGTATAATTTCGCGTTTTAATCATTGATTAAGGCACAATAGCACTATCCTATTCCACTTTAAACTAGATTTCACAAAATAATTGAAAGTCAAAATAAAAACGACACTTTTCCCTCCAAAAGGTCCAGAGCGAATCTCAGTTCTTTCTTAGCTAAAATAAAAAAATAAAAAATGTTTATGTAAATTTTTAATTTTTAAAGTGCCCACTTTAGTAAAGACAAAAGACTTTACACCTGAGAAAGAAAGAGTGAAATGTAATTACTGATAGAGAATTGTTGTTTTAATGTCTATTATTTTGTCAAACAAGCCTTTCGTTTGACTTGAGATAAAATAAATAACTAAATCCCTAACGTAATTGTTTTTGCAGTAAGTCGTATCGTTACTCAGTATTCAAAAGCGATCATCTTCCACTATTTTTTCGTATGCCTATATATTTATCGAAGGCCAGCAAAATAAGAACCGGTGGAGAAAATTTGACACAGATGCGACATTGACAAGCGCCCGATGGCAACTGACGGGGCAGCGGGCGGCGCTGTGCGTCGTTAAACCGCTGGGCAATTTTCAAATTTTGGAATAAATATAAATGTAATGTCTACAGGGCTTCACTTCAAAAACCTGTCTGTAGTACATAAAGAGAAATATCTCCATATAAAAAAGGGTGTGCCAAATTTCATTCTCAAATAATTCGTTTTAGGATTTTATTTTAACCTTATCAATTTATATAGTTGGGTGAAGTACATTCTATCGTGTATATGCTAATGTGTTATATTTTTTGTAAGACGGTTATTTAATAGTGAATAGCTAAACCATTTGGTCTACTAAAACCATTGACTTACAATTATATGGACGTCGGGTCCGCGCTAAAAA